GCCGGAGTCGTGGTTTGGGAAGGCATCAGCACTCTTTTCTAGAGAAGGCCAAAAATCTTGTAAAACTACAAGGCCTGTAATTCTATAGGCGTAAAACTGCATTAAGTCTACAGTGTAAGTTTCAGATTTTTGGTTGTAACCCCAAAGTTAGTCCTTTCCCCTAAAATCTTGGCAATTTGGTATTTCAGTCACTTGGGTTGAATCTATATAAATAAAAATGTAATGTTAGTTTGTGGGATTAACATAACTCAAAAACCACTGGACGAATTTACACCAAATTTGGACACAATACACATATCAGAACGAGTGACCATCACTCATAAAAACACTAAAAAGTACAGTGGAAGGGATGTAAAAAGCCAAAAAACAAAAAAAAAAAAACACATTACAACGCATGGACAAAACCACACACAAACATATGCAAACACACACATTTATACACAAATATATATACACACAAAACACATATACACAGACTGGGCCACAGCAACACGTGGCAGGAAATGGCTAGTTTATTTATAAACTATACTGTCTTCTGTGCTTTTTGTGAATTTCAGCTTTGGTAAGATCTCATTCTTGGCACTCGCTCATGTCTGTTATCTTGTTAATGCACACAATTAATATTATCACATTGGACTCAAGGTACGATTTTTGTTATCATTGCCTAACCTGAATATTCTCTCTACAGTTATGTACTTCTATGGACTTCCTTAAAATCCTGAGGGGCAAAGTAAAAAAGGCAAACCACAATGTTGTTTCTTCACTGGGTGTGTTTTTTGGACAGTTGCACCTATTGAGTAAGGCTTATTTGCTGTCTACATCTTATCATGCCAGGATTGCATAGAGCAACCATTCCAGGCTGTTCCGAATTTGCAAACAAATAAAGAAGTATGGCAAAGTTGAACAATTATTCAGAAATTGAATGGGGAATTAAGGAAATAATACTTGCTGGCTTTGTTCAATTAAATATATTTGTTCCTTGGGAAATCTGACTTGGCCACAGTGGTCCATGCTCTTGTTACATCCCGAATAGACTACTGCAACACACTCTACGTGAGGCTGCCTCTGAAGACTGACCGGAAGCTTCAATTAGTCCAACCGTCAGCAGACAGGTTGTTCACCGGAGCAGCATACAGGGAGCACACAACTCCTCTGTTATGCCAGCTCCACTTGCCGCCGATTGGCTTCCGAGCACAATTCAAAGTGCTGGTTTTGATATCGAGCTAGAATTTTGAGGCTCCCACCCAGGAGAGAGGAGCCCTCAGACCCACCAAGAAGGATCTGATACTCTGGCGAGCAAAGGAAAGAGCCAATAGAATTTTCCCAGATTTTTCCCAATAAATCTCACCAAAGTTGAAGAAAAGTTGTATTTATTTCATCCAGCTGGTACGGATATCAAACCGCGATTGTTCGTCAGGACAGACATACGTTTAAATACATTGCAGTACATTTTTATAGAAAAACAGAGCTGTCAAAGTTCAAATTTGCCGCCCCCTGCCCCTCAGCTGGCATTCTCCTGATTGGCTGTTGTCATCAGTTGGGGAGGAGGTGCAATCCGTTGACTCGCGGATATGGGGGCCCGAGAGGTTTCTGTATCCGCAGTTTAAGGGAACGCAGTTTCGGCCTCCCTGGGATGCGAAAATCACATCCCAGGAGGGCCGGCAGTCATCTGCAGCCCGGGAGAAGGAAGTTTTATGGAAAGAAAGGTTTGAGACAGTAAAGGGACACAAAGTAACACTGGAGAGAAAAAAGGTTGCAATTAATTGATACTTTTATTGGGGGGATTAGTTACAATGTTAGGAAGGGGGGAAAAAGGTAAAGGAATGAGAAGGCTTCTGAGTTGCAGCTGCTGCTGTGGCCACGTTCATGCAGTTGGCCCAAGCGGGGTGGTTTAATCCACTGCGCCACCGGGGGCTCCTTATTAATAAATAATAATAATAATAATAATAATAATAATAATAATAATAATAATAAAATATTTATTAGTAAAGGGAAAGGTTTCTCTTTGACGTTAAGTTTAGTCGTGTCCGACTCTGGGGGTTGGGTTGGTGCTCCACTCCATTTCCAAACCAAAGAGCCAGCGTTGTCCGTAGACACCTCCAAGGTCATGTGGCCAGCATGACTGTATGGAGTGCTGTTACCTTCCCGCTGGAGCGGTCCCTATTGATCTACTCACATTTGCATGATTTCAAACTGCTAGGTTGGCAGAAGCTGACACTAACAGCGGGAACTCACCCCGCTCGCTGGATTCGAACCGCCAACCATTTGGTCAGCAAGTTCAGCAGCTCAGTGGTTTAACCCACTTCACCACTGGGGGTTCTTTATTAATAATAATTAATAATTGAATAATTATTAAATAATTGTTAATTAAATTATTATTATTATAGATTGACAAATAAATGGCTCCTAGGAAGTGCATCGAATTGGAATATATGAGTCTACACTGTTATAAAATCCGGTTCAGTGATAGTATTGAGAAACAGAAAAGAATCTGGTCCTCAGGCTTGGGCCCCTTTTACCATGTAATAATAATTGGTAATTGAACAATAAATGAACCTGTGGCTTCTTCTTCTTCTTATTATTATTATTATAACAATTATTTAATAATAAAATAAATAAATAAATAAATGGGTCCTTGTGGAACCAGGAGCAAATAATAATAATAATAATAATAATAATAATAATAATAATAATAATAATAATTAGAACAATGATTAAATAATAATAATAATAATAATAATAATAATAATAATAATAATAATAATGACAAATACTGTAGTCATATCATGCAGACTGAACTGCACTGAAATGGAATATATGAGTCTACACTGCCATGTAATCCAGTTTAGTGATGATATACAAAAACAGGAACCTGGGGCTTATTATTATTATTTATAGAACAATGATTTAATAATAATAATAATAATGACAAATAAATGGGTACTAGTGTAGAGTCATATCATGCAGACTGAACTGTATTGAATTGGAATATATGAGTCTACACTGCCATATAATCCAGTTTAGTGATGGTACAGAGAAACAGGAATCTGGAGCACATAATAATAATAATAATAATAATAATAATAATAATAATAATAAATTGAACAATGATTAAATAATAATAATAATGACAAATAAATGGGTCCTTGTGTAGAGTCATATTATGCGGATTGAACATTGAATTGGAATATGGGTCTACACTGCCATATAATCCAGTTTAGTGATGGTACAGAGAAACAGGAATCTGAAGCACATAATAATAATAATAATAATAATAATAAATAGAACAATGATTAAATAATGATAATAATAATAATAATAATAATAATAATAATAATAATGACAAATAAATGGGTCCTTGTGTAGAGTCATATCATGCAGACTGAACTGTACTGAATTGTAATATGTAAGTCTACACTGCCATATAATCCAGTTTAGTGATGGTACAGAGAAACAAGAATCTGGAGCACATAATAATAATAATAAATTGAACAATGATTAAATAATAATAATAATGATAATAATAATAATGATAATAATAATAATGATAATAATAATAATGACAAATAAATGGGTCTTAGTGTAGAGTCATATCATGCAGACTGAACTGTACTGAATTGGAATATATAAGTCTACACTGCCATATAGTCCGGTTAAGTGATAGTACAGAGAAACAGGAACCTGGAGCATATAATAATAATAATAATAATGACAAATAAATGGGTTCTAGCGCAGAGACATATCATGCAGATTGAACTGCACTGAATTGGAATATATGAGTCTACACTGCCATATAATCCAGTTTAGTGATGGTATACAAAATCAGGAACCTGGGGCTTATTATTATTATTATTATTATTAATAGAACAATGATTAAATAATAATCATCATGACAAATAAATAGGTCCTAGTGTAGTCATATCATGCAGACTGAACTGCATTGAATTGGAATACATGAGTCTACACTGCTATATAATCCAGTTTAGTGATGGTATACAAAAACAGGAACCTGGGGCTTATTATTATTATTTATAGAACAATTATTAAATAATAATAATAATAATAATAATGACAAATAAATGGGTCCTAGTGTAGAGTCATATCATGCAGACTGAACTGTACTGAATTGGAATACATGAGTCTACACTGCCATATAATCCAGTTTAGTGATGGTACAGAGAAACAGGAATCTGGAGCATATAATATAATAATAATAATATTATGATTAAATATTATTATTTAATCATTGTTCTATTTATTATGATTAAATAATAATAATAATAATAACAACAACAACAACAAATGAATGGGTCCTTGTGTAGAGTCATATTATGCAGATTGAACTGCGCTGAATTGGAATATATGAGTCTACACTGCCATATAATCCAGTTTAGTGATGGTACAGAGAAACAGGAACCTGGGGCTTATTATTATTAATAATAAAACAATTATTAAATAATAATAATGACAAATAATGGGCCCTAGTGTAGATTATGCCGATTGAACTGCACTGAATTAGAATATATGAGTCTACACTGCCATATAATCCAGTTTAGTGATGGTACAGAGAAACAGGAATCTGGAGCACATAATAATAATTCAAATAATAATAATAATAATAATAATGACAAATAAATGGGTCCTTGTGTAGTCATATTATGCAGATTGTACTGAACTGAATTGGAATATGAGTCTACACTGCCATATAATCCAGTTTAATGATGGTATACAAAAACAGGAACCTGGGGCTCATTATTATTATTATTATTAATAGAACAATTATTAAATAATAATAATGACAAATAAATGTGTCCTTGTGTAGAGTCATATCATGCAGACTGAACTGCACTGAACTGGAATACATGAGTCTACACTGCCATATAATCCAGTTTAGTGATGGCACAGAGAAACAGGAATGTGTTGCTCAGTCTTGAGCCCCTTCCATGAAGGACTGACTATCCAAGGCCGCGCGCCTGGCGCCTTTAAGAGATTACTGAAGCGTGAGCGCTCTGCAAGGCCTGCAGCCTCGGCCTCGAGTGCGGACTCTGACCCGCGGCGATGTCATAAAAGCCGGGCAGAGGGGCCCCGGGGGTGTCTGGCTCCAAGGCAGCGGAGGAGAAGCCGCAACACCAGCAGCGACGGTCATGGCGGCTTCCGGGAAGAGCGAGAAGGGCAACCTCTCCGTGGTGGTGCACAAGGCCGGAGATCTGCGCCTGGTAGGGAAGCGAGGCCGCCATGATGGCGTGTCGGACCGAATGAGGAGGCCAACTTGGGCCCTCCAGGCGCTTGGGACTTCAACTCCCATCATTCCTAGCGGCCTCAGGCCCCTTCCTTTTCCCCCTCAGCCGCTTAAGCGGCTGAGGGGGAAAAGTAAGGGGCCTACCGTAGGAATGATGGGAGTTGAAGTCCCAACCCTGGAGGGCCCAAGTTGGCCCATGCCTGGTCTAAACCCCAGACTCCCTTTGAAACTTCCCAAAATCGCATTGGCTTTTGATGCTGCTGCCTCACACTCTTGTCTCATGTTCTCCTTCTTGGCCACAAAGACTCCAAGGTTTTTCATATATGTTGTCATATATCAGCCATCCTGATATCTCTGCCATTCATTCACCCAAATACCTGGGAGTCACCTGGACTGTGCTCTTACCTACAAGAAGCACTGCCTGAACATCAAGCAAAAAGTGGGCGCCAGAAACAATATCATACGAAAGCTGACTGGCACAACCTGGGGATCACAACCAGATACAGTGAAGACATCTGCCCTTGCGCTGTGCTACTCTGCTGCTGAGTATGCATGCCCAGTGTGGAACACATCTCACCACACTAAAACAGTGGATGTGGCTCTTAATGAGACATGCCACATTATCATGGGGTGTCTGCGCCCTACACCACTGGAGAAATTACACTGCTTAGCCGGTATTGCACCACCTGACATCCGCTGGGAAGTGGCAGCCAATAGTGAAAGGACCAAGGCAGAGACATCTCCAGCTCATCCCCTGTTTGGGTATCAGCCAATCAAGAAATAGTTTAAATCAAGAAATAGTTTTCTAAGATCTACAGAGACACTCGCTGGAACACCTCAGCAAGCAAGAGTCCAAAAGTGGCAGGCTCAAACCCAGAACCTCAACCAATGGCTGATACCAAATGAGAGACTCCCCCCTGGGCACACAGAGGACTGGTCGACTTGGAAGGCGCTGAACAGACTGCGTTCTGGCACCACAAGATGCAGAGCCAATCTTAAGAAATGGGGCTACAAAGTGGAATCCACGACATGCGAGTGTGGAGAAGAACAATCCACTGACCACCTACTGCAATGCAACCTGAGCCCTGCCACATGCACCATGGAGAACCTCCTTGCGGCAACACCAGAGGCACTCCAAGGGGGCAGATACTGATCAAAGGACATTTAATCAACTACCAAACTCACACATTTTGTATTTTGCCTGTTTGTTTGTTTGCTTTGTTCTGTTAGAAATGTAATATAATTGACTGGTTGCTCTGACACGACAAATAAAATAAATAAATGCCATTCATTTCATTAATTAAGCACCATTACTCTTTATTTATGGCAGTCGCTTAGTAAAAAATAAATGGTAATCATAATGGTAATAATATAATAATAATAATAGTAGGGCACTCTTATTCTCTTTTATGTCAGTCACTTAGTAAAATAAAAATTGTGATTATAATGCTAATAATAATAGGTTGCCATTGTTCTTTATTAATGGCAATTGCTTAATTAATAGCAGTAATAATACAAATAGATTATAAGAATATATATATATATATATAATATATATATATAATCTATTTTTGTTACTGTTGTTATTATTCTTAATTGTCTATATATATAATCTATATTTATTATTACTCTTATTACTATTCTTAATTGTATATATATATATAATCTATTTTTATTACTGTAATTACTATTCTTAATTCTTTATATATATATAATTATTTTTATTACTGTTATTACTATTCTTAATTGTATATATATAATCTATTTTTATTATTACTGTTATTACTATTCTTAATTGTATATATATATATATATAATCTATTTTTATTATTACTGTTATTACTATTCTTAATTGTCTATATATATATATATAATCTAGTTTTATTATTACTGTTATTACTATTCTTAATTGTCTATATATATATATAATCTAGTTTTATTATTACTGTTATTACTATTCTTAATTGTCTATATATATATATATATATAATCTATTTTTATCATTACTGTTATTACTATTCTTAATTGTCTCTCTCTCTCTATATATATAAAATCTATTTTTATTATTAGTGTTATTAATTTTATATAGCGACTGCCATAAATAAAGAGAAATGGTGCCTTATAGTAAAGACAAGAATAGTAATAAAAGTAATAATAAAAATAGATTATAAGAATATATATATATATATATATATACATATAGTAAAGACAATTAAGAATAGTAATAAAAGTAATAATAAAAATAGATTATAAGAATATATATATATATATATATATATAGTAAAGACAATTAAGAACAGTAATAAAAGTAATAAAAGTAATAATAAAATCAATTATAAGAATATATATATATATATATATATATATGGCACTATTACTTTTTATTTATGGCAGTGGCTTAATAAAACTAATAATTAATAATAATAGATCATATATATATATATAGACAGTTAAGAATAGTAGTAAGAGTAGTAATAAAATAGATTTATACATATACATATACATATATATATACATATATAGACAATTAAGAATAGTAATAAGAGTAATAATAAAAATATATATGTATATAATAAGGCACCATTACTCTTTATTTAGGGCAGTTGCTTAATAAAATTAATAATAAAAATAGACTATATATATATATATATATATATATATATATATATTATAAGAATATATATAAAAGGCACCATTACTCTTTATTTATGGCAGTCGCTTAATAAAATTAATAACTGTAATAATAAAAATAGACTATAAATATATATTGTAAAGACAATTAAGAATAGTAATAAAAGTAATAATAAAAATAGATTATAAGAATATAGGCAGTTCAGACAGTTGTTTAATAAAATTAATAACAGTAATTATATATATATATATGTATATATATATATGACAAATAAGAATAGTAATAATAGTAACAACAAAATAGATTATAAGAATCTATATATAAAGCACCATTACTTTTTATTTATGGCAGTCACTTATTACAATTAATAGTAATAGTAACAATAGGGTACAGTAGCAATAGTAGTAATAGTAATAATAGATGATAATACAAATAATAATAGGGCACCATTATTCTTTTATTTATGACAGTCACTTAGTAAAATTATTATTATTATTATTATTGATAATAACAAGGCACCATTGCTCTTTATTTATGGTAGTTACTTAGTAGAATTAACAATAATAATACTAGTCATATCAAGTAATAATAATAATAATAAGGCACCATTACTCTTTATTTATGACAGTCACATAATAAAATTATTAATAATAGTAATAACAGTAATAGTAATAATTGAAAATAATAAAAATAATAAATAATAAATAATAATAGGGCACCATTACTCTTTATTTATCACAATCACTTAATACAATTCATAATAATACTAGTAATAATAATACTAGTAATAATATTAAGGCACTATTGCTGTTTATTTATGGCAGTCACTTAGTAAAAATAATAATTATAATGGTAATAATAATAACGGGATCCAATATAATCCTAATGTAAGCAGCAGCCAATTTTCATGCAAGTTGAATCTTCTTTCTTTTGTTTTCTTGCAGGAAGACCGACCAATCCCTGAACCAGGACCTAATGGTAGGTTGACTAGGCTTGTTGATATGCAAATTATGATTTCTTATGTATGCTTCAGTGTATATGAAAGGTTGTTTTGTTGAATCCGAAACCAGGCTGGTTCATTAATTAGACCAGGGGTCCTCAAACTTTTTAAGCAGAGGGCCAGGTCACAGTCCCTCAAACTGTTGGAGGGCCGGATTATAATTTGAAAAAAAATGAATGAATTCCTATCCACACTGCACACACCTTATTTGTAGTGCAAAAAATACTTTAAAACAATACAATAATTAAAATGAAGAACAATTTTAACAAATATAAACTTATTAGTATTTCAATGGGAAGTGTGGGCCTGCTTTTGGCTGATGAGATAGGATTGTTATTGTTGTTGTGTGCTTTCAAGTCAATTCAGACTTAGGTTGACCCTGAGCGAGGGCCAGGCAAATGACCCTGGAGGGCCATATCCGGCCCCCGGGCCTTAGTTTGAGGACCCCCGAATTAGACAGTATCTCCTGGTTCTCAACCTTTGGTCCTCCAGATGTTTCAGACTTCAGCGTCCAGCTTTCCTGACGGTTGGAAAAAGCACCTGGAAGACCAAGGCTGTGAAACACTGTGAACCACTGATCTAGAAAAGTGTTGTTGATCTTGAAAGTTATTAACACCATAGACGTGGTGCTTAGGCAACCCAACTCAAAAACTCAGATTGCATCATAAAATTATGGCAATAGCATTGAAACAGGCATAGGACTGTGTGAAGGTGCAATTCATGCACAAAATTGACTTGGCTCTCTGTCCTTTTTCTCTTGATCCCACCTTCTTTCCAACTTTGAACAATTGTCAAGGTGACCTGGGCATTTATAACGAAGCCTCACACCAAAGGAGCTTCTTTTAGCAGGTAGAAGGAATAAGGAATTCTTGAATAGTGAATCTGAACATTCCATCTGAACATTAGGAAGAACTTCCTGACTGTGAGAGCCGTTCAGCAGTGGAACTCTCTGCCCCGGAGTGTGGTGGAGGCTCCTTCTTTGGAAGCTTTTAAGTAGAGGCTGGATGGCCATTTGTCAGGGGTGATTTGAATGCAATATTCCTGCTTCTTGGCAGGGGGTTGGACTGGATGGCCCATGAGGTCTCTTCCAACTCTTTGATTCTATGATTCTATGATTCTATGATTCTATGAATCCCACAGGCTACCAGCAATTATAAGGAACTTCACACTAAGGATCACAACACTGTGCCACCAGTTACAAGGAATATCACAGGAGGGAAATTGATAAAACAGGAAAAGATATAACTGTGTGCAGATGTATTTGAATAACGTTTGAAATGAGAGGTTTTTAAAAGGCTTCTTCAATTGGGTACGCTGCCACCTTATGGTTTAGTATTCAGGCTGAGTTATATGTGTGGAGAGGATACTTAGGAACACCCTTCTGTGTTACGATAGTGTTTATTTTCCTCAGAGGGTTTAAAATACCAATGACGTTCACACACAGGCTGTTGTAAAGTGTTAACTATAATAAAACGTTTATTTAACAGGCTTAAACTCTTCTGGTACAAATGTGTAATGGTTTCTGTAAGTTAATGACACAAAAGCTTTTGGTTACGTTTGATGTACAATTCTTAGATGAGTACTGGGTTCAAATCTAGAGTTAACAAACAGGAGACTATCTCAGGAAACTAATCTCTGATGATAATTCCAAACCAAATTCCCATTTTCTGGAATCTAGCCAAACAACCTTGGCCTAGCCTTCCTCAGGAATAAAAGAAACAGACCATAAGCAAGGTCCTGTTCCCACTGTCAGTACTCCTGCCTAATTTCTCTAGCCCTTGAATCCTACAAAAGATTAACCCAGTTCTATCTAGCACTATCCGACTGTGAACACCAACCGACTACCTAACTCCCAACTGACAAATCCCAACTGCCAAAATTCAAACCTCCAATTCAAAAGGTACACTTTTTTCCTCTATTCGAATGTTAGGCTCCGCCCCCTATTCTTAACCAATCCTGGCCATCTACTCTTTGCTTACTGGACTAGGACACGCCCCCTCTAAGAAAACTGACCTAAGATGGCTTCTCCCTGTTTCCTAATCTAAAATGGCTGCCAGGGCTTTGCTAGGCCCACATTCTAACTGTGCTGTCACACGCTGGGCCTGTGAAAGAGTCTGTAGACAAAACGTGTTTTCTGAATGGCCAACGGGACACCGGGGGTGCCTCGGCTGAGAGGCCTTTTGAATTTCCCCACACAAAGTTCTTTTAAAGACTTAGAAAGTTTGTTTTTATTGTTGCTTAAATCTTCAATATATCAAACAAATACTTCAAGGCTTTGGATCAACTGGTGGCTTGCTTAAATCTTGTCCACAAGGGACAGGCAACTTTCTTCATAAACTGTTTCTTCTTTCTATAAGGGAAATCCTTGACCCCCCTCCTTAGGCAATCTGTATTTAGGCTTTGCTGGCGTGGGGCCCCTACACCCAGTCCAATTTGCGTTATGGCTGCTGCCAGAGGTCCTTACCAGGCCAAAGTCTCTGTGTAGATTTCCAAACGGAAAGAAGTCCTTTGTTTCCCAGCAAAGGCTGGCTGTAGAGTTGTGGAACTAAATTCCCCAACAAAGGCTATGCTGTAGTTCTCTGTAGAGCTGTGGGACTGAATTCCCCCAGCAAAGCTGTAAAAGACGAAGCTTTCTACAGGTGGAACTGATTCACGTCCTGTACGAAAGGCTTCTCTGTGTGAACTGAACTAGAGGTCCCCCTTTTCCCTCCTTAACCCAGAAAAAGGGGCGGAACTAAAGAACATAATGATAATTGATGGGTCATTGGCCCTATTGTTGCAAACCAAGGGAAGCCACCTTATTGCAAAATGTATGGAACTTTGGAATACATGCAAACACTCATTAGAAAGGAAAAGAAGTTGGAGCTCCTGGTACAGCCGTACCAGCACAGGCTTCGCTAGGCCCACATTCTGGCTACTAAAGGTAAGGGTTCTTCACAGCATTCCTTGCCTGAGAAAACCCTATGAAATGGATGGGGTTGCCATAAGGCAATAGGCAACTTGAAGGCTGCGATCTGATCCATAATTTCCCTGCTAGAGTGAAAAAGCAAACAGAAAGTTAACAAGTTCAATCTGACATAGAAATGTGGCAGGCGGGTAGATTAAAGATCCAACGTGTCTTAGCATGTAACTTGCAACGGAAATCTTGGCCATGGTGATTAAACTCAAATGTCCACAAATCAAACTTGCCTGCTGTTGGTAGCGTATCATTGAAACATTCTCACAGTCTTCAGAAAAGACACAAGAAAAGAAACGTTGCCATTTCAGACCTTCTGATTAGCACATAACTAGGAACAGAAATACCAAAAAGCCAACTACTTTTCAAACTTTCTGTTTTTTTCTTGGCATTGGAATGGATCCAGGCCTAATTATACATAATTAAACATTATGTTAAATGAGTAGCATGAGGGGTCGCCAAAGATCATCAGAAGACACAGTATTTTCTATTGGCCATGGAGGTTCTGTGTGGGAAGTTTGGCCCAATTCAATCGTTGGTGGGGTTCAGAATGCTCTTTGGTTCTCGGTGAACTATCCCAGCAACTAGAACTCCCAAATGACAAGGTCTATTTCCCCCCAAACTCCAGCAATATTCACATATCCATGCCAAGTTTGGTCCAGATCCATCATTGTTTGAGTCCATAGTTTTTCTTAAGACTAAGTGCAATTACCTACGGATTTAAGCCACCCAACTTTTAAAATACTGCAGATCGCAGATTTTTCTCACAGGTTTTCATTCTTTGCCTTGTCTCTTTTCTGGTAGAAGTGCTTTTGAAGATGCATTCTGTCGGGATCTGCGGCTCTGATGTGCACTATTGGCAGAACGGGCGGATTGGAGATTTTGTGGTGAAGGCCCCAATGGTGCTGGGCCACGAGGCCTCAGGAACAGTCGTCAAAGTGGGGTCTGCAGTAACACAGTTGAAAAAAGGTGAGCAAGGGCCATTCTGTCATCATAAGACATATTTTCCTGCTTGTGATTGAGTGGTTATTGGTTCCTAGAAACATTCATATAGTGCCTTTCATGTGAAATGGTTTGCAAAATCAAGATTCTGGAGGATAGTAGCATTTCCCTCACCATCCACTTGGTGCTAGACTAGGAACTGAGGCCTATGTGTGGTTCCGAGACTGTAACCCAAGCATGGGCAAACTTTTGCCCTCCAGGTGTTTTGGACTTCAATTCCCATCATTCCTAACAGCCTCAGGCTCTTTCCTTTTCCCTCTCAGCCGCTTAAGCTGAGTGCTGGGCCCATAACCAAAGTTAAGCTGAGTGCTGTGCCCATAACTAAAGATCAGCTGAGTGCTGGGCCCATAACCAAAGATCAACTGGGTGCTGGGCCCATAACCAAAGTTAAGCTGAGTGTTGTGCCAATAACCGAAGATCAGCTGAGTTCTGGGCCCATAACCAAAGTTAAGCTGAGTGCTGGGCCCATAACCAAAGTTAAGCTGGGTGCTGGGCCCATAACCAAGGTTAACCTGAGTGTTGTGCCCATAACCAAAGTTAAGCTGAGTGCTGGGCCCATAACCAAAGTTAAGCTGAGTACTGGACCCATAACTAATGTTAAGCTGGCTGCTGGGCCCATAACCAAAGATCGGCTGAGTGCTGGGCCCATAACCAAAGATCAGCTGAGTGCTGGCTTGTCTGAATACTCCTTAAACACATGAGAAAGCACGAGAAGTTGCCCAAATCTCCTATCTCGCTCTGCCCTTTATTGTCTCCCAGGTGACAGAGTGGCGATTGAACCTGGGGTTCCCCGGGAAAATGATCAGTTCTGCAAAACGGGGCGCTACAACCTCTCCCCGACCATCTTCTTCTGTGCAACCCCTCCGGATGATGGAAACCTATGCCGCTATTACAAGCATGATGCCAACTTTTGCTACAAGTGAGTTGCCGATACCTTTTGGGAATGGTGCATTGTGGAGCAAGATGAGCCAAGCGGGGTTTAAAACCAAAGTAATTGTTTTGTCACTGTATACAATTATATTTTTCGTTCTGAGAAGTATTTGGACGTGCAGGTTAAAAGGAAGGATTAGATAGTTGGCATGTGATTCATCCTCATCGTCCAAGTGTTTCTAAACCTCTAATCGCTCGTAATGAGTGACAGGATTATGGATCATTGCCCGGTGTCTTCTTACAGCCTTACTAAGAAAAAGCAATTATTAACCATTGCTGAAAGTAACAGTAAAAAAGACACTTGAGTCGATGATTAGAAAAAGTTGTCAAGTCCAAATGTTGTCAGTTAACTAGATGAGTTGATAAGTAGTAAGAAATGCTTGGTCGGAAGTGACATTGAGGAATTATTTTCTCTCTTTTTAGTAACATAATGGTTGTGTCTAAAATCCACATTGAACTGGATTATATGGCAGTGTGGACTCAGATAACCCAGTTCAAAGCAGATATTTGGGACTGTGGCACAGCTGGCTGAGTGTCAGCTGCGTTAAGATCACTTCTGACCAAAAGGTCATGAGTTCGAAGCCAGCCTGGGTCGGAGTGAGCTTCCAACCAATTGTGTAGCTTGTTGTCGACCTTTGCAACCTGAAAGACAGTTGCTTCTGTCAAGTAGGGAAATTAGGTACCACCTATGTGTGGGGAGGCTAATTTAACTAATTTACGAGGCCATAAAACAGACTCCAGTAAAACATGCGGGGAATGCGGAAGTACTTCATCAGTGTCGCAGATGGACGATGAAAGCGACAGCTCCCCTGGCAGCCCCAAAAAGTTAAATAGCCTCTGACTGTCTGTCTATATCTGTTGTCTTTGGCATTGAGTGTTTGCCGTATATGTGTACATTGTAATCCGCTCTGAGTCCCCCACGGGTTGAGAAGGGCGGAATATAAATACTGTAAATAAATAAATATTTTGGATTGGGTAAAGGAAAAGGTTTCCCCCTTACATTAATTCCAGTCGTGTCTGACTCTGGGTGTTGGTGTTTTCGAACTGCTAAGGTTGGCAGAAGCTGGGGCTAACAGCGGAAGCTCATGCCGCTCTCCAGATTCGAACCTGTGACCTTTAGGTCAACAAGTTAAGCAACTCAGCGGTTTAACCCACTGCGCCACCAAGGGCTCCTAATTGTGGATTATCTGCCTTGCTATTCTGGGTTATATGGCGGTGTGGAAGGGCCCAAAGAGGAAGGGGAAGACACAATTGAGAACTAAAGAGGTTTTCTGCAGGATATCTTTTCTAGATGAGCCTCTCTGGCATAATGACAACAAAGCTCCCTGATGGATTTATGTTTCTGTTTCCATGATTTACCCAGTAGAAAAGTCTTGACTGTATATGTTGATAATTTACAATTGCCATGCAAAGTTCACAAAAGTTTTTTAAAAAACCTTATTTTCCTGGCTTGCTTCTACTTGCAAAACAGTGTTTTTCCATGAAATAGAAAATCAGGAGTGTGGCAGAGGAGAAAATTAGGCAGCCTAAGGTCTATGCAGAATAACAACAACAACAACAACAACAACAACAACAACAACAACAATCCAGCATATAGATCTCATTTGCTGTGATATACTGTATTTTTGTGTCAGTAGAATAATAATAATAATAATAATAATAATAATATATTATTATTATTATTATTATTATTATTATTATTATTATTATTATTATTATTATTATTTGCCAATATATTACACAGTCCTAGACACTTGGGAAGTGTCTGCCATGTGATCCAATACAACAACCAGCATAGTCATCTTGTTTGCTGTGTACTCATCTTGTTGTGTTTCTAATAATAATGATAATAATAATAATCATTATCATCATCATCATCATCGAACTGCAAAGATCAAACTACAAAGACTCTGGCACAAGGAAGACAAGGGGGTCCTAGTGGTGATTGGCACACTGGGTGCAGTGCCTAAAGACCTTGGCCTGCACTTAAAAACAATCGGCGCTGACAAAATTACCATTGGTCAGCTGCAAAAGACCACCCTACTCGGATCTGGATGCATTATTCACCGATACATCACAGTCCTAAACACTTGGGAAGTGTCTGATGTGTGATCCAGTATAAAACGCCAGCATAGTGATTTTGTTTGCTGTTTACTAATCTTGTTGTGTATCAAATAATAATAATAATAATAATAATAATAATAATAATAATAATAGGAAAGTGTCCGATGTGTGATCAAATACAAAAGCCAGGACAGTTATCATGTTTGCTGTATTCGAATCTTGCTGTGTGCCTAACAGCAATAACAATAACAACAACAACTTTATACATTACAGTCCTAAACACTTGGGAAGGGTCCGACGTGTACAAATGCCAGCATAGTGATCTTGTTTGCTGTGTACTAATCTTGTTGTGTATCAAATAATAATAATAATCATAGGAAAGTGTCCAACGTGTGATAAAATACACAAGCCAGGACAGTGATCTTGTTTGCTGTGTTTGAATCTTGTTGTTTGTCAAACAACAACAACAACAACAACAACAACTTTATTTATCCCTGAAGGCACTCAGAATGGTTTATGAGGGTTTCATTTTAGGTGAAAGGTCTCTTTGTTTTGTCTTGTTGCAGGCTTCCAGATAACGTTACGTTTGAGGAAGGAGCCCTCATTGAACCCCTTTCCGTCGGGATCCATGCTTGCAGAAGGGCAGGAGTGACCCTGGGAAGCAAAGTTTTCATTTGTGGTGCTGGTATGGATAACACCTCTTTTGTTTGCTTTTCCAAGCTTGCAGCTCCCCCTAAAGTCACAGGTCCGCAGCTTGGGTGTCCTCCTGGACTCATCATTTACTCTTGAAACTCAGGCGTCGGCGGTGACCGGGAGGGCCTTCGCACAATTAAGACTCGTGCGCCAGCTGCGACCGTACTTTGTGAAGTCGGATCTGGCCAGGGTTGTCCATGCCTTAGTCATCTCCAGATTGGATTACTGTAATGCTCTCTATGTGGGGCAGCCCTTGAAAACGGCTCGAAAATTCCAATTGGTACAACGGGTGGCAGCCAGGTTACTAACTGGTGTGACTTATAGAGAGCGGTCAACCCCCCTGTTTAAGGAGCTCCATTGGCTGCCGTACATCTTCTGGTCCCAATTCAAGGTGCAGGTCCTTACCTACAAAGTCCTGAATGGTTTGGGACCCGCCTACCTGCGTGAACGCATTTCTTTGTACGAACCCACACAATCTCTTTGCTCATCCGGGGAGGCCCTGCTCATGCTCCCGCCTCCCTCGCAGGCACGATTTGGTGGGGACGAGGGAGAGGGCCTTCTCGGTAGTGCCCCCCTGACTCTGGAATTCACTTCCAAAGGATATCAGGCATGCCCCATCATTGGCGGTCTTTAGGAGGAGCCTGAAAATGTGGCTGTTCCAGTGAGCCTTTCCAGAATAAAGAAATAATTCCCAGCAAAATGTCCTTACAAATACACTTTAATTACTGGATTGCATTGGACACACTTCTTAAAAACCCTCCTACCAGATATATCCTACCTTGTTCATGCCCAGCATTATTTTTAAAATTTTAAATTATTACATTTGGCCTGTCCATAGGCTTTTAAATCCTCGTGTGTTATTGTTATATGTGATTTATATTAATTTGTATTGCATTGTATTGCATTGTATTGTTTTGTTTATTGTTTTTCTGTTTTATTGATGTATTGTTGGGCTAGGCTTCATGTAAGCCGCCCCAAGTCCCTTGGAGAGATGGTGGCGGGGTATAAATAAAGTTTTTTTATTATTATTATTAGCTCCCTCAACGAGACCTGGTCTGAGATACAGATACGATTGCACCATTAGACAAAGTGCACTTGCCAGGGGATAGGAGCAAGTCTTCCATGCCCCTTTGTTTGCAGTGTTGCCTCTGTCAGCAAAATGACTCAGAATGGCTCTGTAAACCACTTTGTAAACTCACTACCTCTGAGGATGCTTGCCATAGATGCAGGCGAAATGTCAGGAGAAATGCCTCTAGAACATGGCCCTATAGCCCGAAAAAACCCACAAGAACCTAGTGATTCCAGCCATGAAAGCCTTCGACAATACACTTTAGAAATGTTTGATGAAGGATAATATTATAAAAAATCCACACACAGCCATATAACACAGAATATCAAGGCCGATAATTCACAATATCTGTTTTGAACTGGATTATCTGAGTTCACACTATGATATAATCCAGTTCAATGTGAATTTTATACAGCGGTGTGGAAGGGGCCTAATACAAAGCTCCCTGAATTTATGTATCCCTTTCTGTTTTTTTTTTTCCAGGTCCTATTGGGCTTGTGTCTTTGCTGATTGCGAAGGTAATGGGGGCTTCACAAGTTGTTATAACTGGTAAGGAACACAATCATCTGCTTCTCCTTTACGTTGTTCAGCTCTCAAGATTCACGTGGGATTAAGTGCTGTTGTTGTCAGCGTGTGTGCAAAGCTCCTTCAGGGCCAAGAGAAAAACAGGTCCACGCAGAACAGAGCATTGTTCAGTAAAGGTTAAGGTTTTCCCTGACATTAAGTCGTCGTATCCGACTCTGTAGGGTGGTGCTCACCTCCATTTCTAAACCAAAGAGCCGGCGTTCTCCAGAGATACCTCCAAGGTCATGTGGTCAGCATGACTGCATGGAGCGCCGTTACCTTCCCGCAGAAGCGGTACCTATTGATCTACTCACATGTGCATGTTTTCAAACTGCTAGGTTAGCAGGAGCTGGGGCTAACAACGGGAGCTCACCTTGCTCCCTGGATTCGAACCGCCGACCTTTTGGTCAGCAAGTTCAGTAGCTTATTTGTTTAACATAACATAACATAATCATAAATAACAACCATAATTATGCATGCTATGAGCCGAAGCTCAAACTTTTAGTATCCTCTTTGTTTTTGGATGCTCTGCTATATTAGGGTAGTTTTCCCTAACAATAAGGTCCTGCTGAACTGTATGACAAGTGAAGTTTTGTTTCTGATGGGAATGTTGGAGCTGTGGTGACCATCTTGATGGATTTGTTTGAGAGACATTAGCAGTCTCAGCATGCTTTTCTAATGGTACAGTTGCAACTATTTTTGTTACCTGTGTTCTTCTCTTATAGATCTATCTGCCTCTCGTCTCGAAAAGGCTAAGGAAATTGGGGCTGATTTCACCATCCAGGTAAAAGGCGAAAGTCCTGAGGAATTGGCCAAGGCAGTAAAAAACGCCCTTGGTTGCATGCCTGACATCAGCCTGGAATGCACTGGAGCTCAGGCCTGTATCCAAACTGGAATCTATGTAAGCATCTTTTAACTGATCTATATTGATCCATATAGAGATGATTTGGGAGCTGTGGTGGTGCAGCGGGTTAAACCTCAAAGCTGAAAAACTTGCCGACTGAAAGGTCGGCGGTTAGAATCCCCAGGATGGGGTGAGCTCCCACTGTTAGCCCCAGCTTCTGCCAACCTAGCAGTTCGAAAACATGAGTAGATCAATAGGTACCGCTTCAGCGAGAAGGTAACAGCTCTCCAGGCATGCCGTAATAATAATAATAATAATAATAATAATAATAATAATAATAATAAGAAGAAGAAGAAGAAGAAGAAGAAGAAGGAGGAGGAGGCACGATTACTGTTTCTTTATGGCAATCACGTAATAATAATAGTAATAGTAATATCAATAATAATAATCAATGTTATTATTATTATTAATAGATAATAATAGGGCATCATTGCTCTTAATCGCAATCACTTAGTACTAATAATAATAATAATAATAATAATAATAATAATAATAATGGCATCATTGATGTTTATTTATGGCAGTCACTTAGTAAAAATAATAATCATAATGGTAATAATAAAAAGACACTACTACTCTTCTTATTTCAGCCACTTAGTAATAATAATAATAATAATAAATAATAATTAATTATAGTCCAATATTTAATTTTGCCAATCTCTCTACAACTTGTTGGAGGATGAAATGAGAGAAAACACATCAAATTAATGTTTTTGCTGGTGCGGTATTAGCTTTAGGGGTGAAATTTCCCCACAACCAATCCAGCAAGATGAATGGTATTGGAACTCTTTGGCTAATATTTTGTTTTGTCCCCAGGTGACTCGTTCTGGTGGAACTCTGGTTTTGGTGGGCCTTGGCCCTGAAATGGTTACAGTGCCTATTGTGAACGCTGCTATCCGGGAAGTGGATATTCGGGGGATATTTCGATACTGCAATACGTGAGTATATTCCAGAGAGCCAAAGGGATGATGGGTGACTTGGAGTTGTGATGTGCTTCTCTGGTTTTAACATGTACTTGATAAGCAGTGAGACCCAGTGTGTTGTAATATAGATGAACTCTAGGCCAGGCATGGGCCATCTTGGGCTTTCCAGGTGTTTTGGACTTCAACTCCCACAATTCCTAACAGCCTCAGGCCCCTTCCTTTCCCCCCTCAGCCGCTTAAGCGGCTGAGGGGGTAAAGGAAAGGGCCTGAGGCTGTTAGGAATTGTGGGAGTTAAAGTCCAAAACACCTGGAGGGCCCAAATTGGCCCATGCCTGCTTTAGACTACGGAATCAGGGATGTGTTATTGCCCCAATCTTATTTTCCATCTTCATCGCTATGATACTTCATCTTGTTGATGGGAAGCTTCCCATCGGAGTGGAAATACTCTATTGGACAGATGGCGAGCTGTTTAACCTCCACAGACTGAAAGCCAAAACCAAGGTCACAATAACATCTGTTACAGAATTCCAATATGCTGATGACAACGTCGTCTGTGCGCATTCAGAAGAAGACCTACAAGCCACTCTAAACACATTTGCAGAAGCATACAAGAAGCTCGGCCTGTCATTGAACATCGAGGAAAGTCCTCTTCCAGCAGTCACCAGCCAATCCCTCTCCAATGCCAGAGATACAGTTTAATGGTGTAGCATTAGAAATGTGGACCATTTCAGCTCCCTTGGCAGCCCCCTCTCCATAAAAGTCAACACTGACACTGAAACACAACTCTGCCTGAGCTCTGCGAGTGCAGCTTTTTTCCAAATGAAGCAGAGTGTTGCACCTCAGAGTAGATTCACCTTGCTGAAAACACCAAACTGCACACAGCCAGAAGTCTTTATGGTTTGTTAAAAATAAAAGGTAAAAATTCTTAAAAGCAAAGGTTAATGTTCCAAAAGATCAGGATAGCATAGCACTTGAAGCATAATCCAATAGGCATCAGCAAAGCAAGGCCCAAGAGAACATGACAAAGTCCTGGAACCATGAACACAAAGACTGCAAGATAATCCAGCCTAGCCTAAGCAAGCTCCTTAGGCAAACACAAAGTTGCTTTGACAAAGATCTGGTCTCAAACACCCTGTTTAATACCCTTTGCAAAACATGAAGGTGTTTCTTTGGCCTCTGGCCTCACTCTTGTTAGCTATCTTTTCACTCCTTCGAACACGGAATTCCAACCAGTCAGCCCGACCGAAAGTTCCCATATCATCAAGGTCAATCTGCTCGTTAGCGTCAGCCTGTTTCCCTGCTTGCTCATTGTCAGGCTGAGAACCAGGCAAAGAGATGACCTTCTTCTTGGAGTCAATCTGCATCTGGCTATTTTCAGTATTGACACTCTCATGCCTTGCTGTGGGAAAGTGCATTTCTTCTTCATTGTCTATAGTAGGGACATTTTGAACCAAACTGTGAACCTGAGTCCCATCATCCTCATCAGAAAAACTCTCTGATTCCAGCTGTGTCACAACACAGAGAGTGTTTAGGGATTGGGACATCCGAAGGGAGACCAAGGTGCTTGTTTATAAAGCTGTTGACCTCCCAACCCTGCTATACGCCTGTGAGCCCTTACATGATCCTTTCCAGTAAAGCCATGGTACTCAACCTTCCTAATGCTGCGACCCCTTAATGCAGTTCGATACCGAAATACAACACCGCCTGAGCTCTGCGAGTGCAGCTTTTTTCTGAATAAAGCAGAGAGTGTTTGAGGACCGGGACATCTGTAGGGAGACCAAGGTGCTTGTTTATAAAGCTATTGTCCTCCCAACCCTGCTATATGCCTGCGAGACCTGGACTGTCTACAGACGTCACATGCAACTCCTGCAATGATTCCATCAGCGCTGCCTCCAAAAAATCCTGCAAATCTCTTGGGAAGACAGGCGGGGAAATGTCAATGTGCTGGAAGAAGCAAAGGCCACCAGCATTGAAGCGACGGTCCTCCGCCACCAACTCCGCTGGACCGGCCACGTTGTCCGGATGCCCGACTACCATCTCCCAAAGCAGTTGCTCTACTCCGAACTCAAGAATGGAAAACAGAATGTTGGTGGACAGGAAAAGAGATTTAAAGATGGGCTCAAAGCCAACCTTAAAAACTGTGGCATAGACACTGAGAACTGGGAAGCCCTGGCCCTTGAGCTCTCCAGCTGGAGGTCAGTTGTGACCAGCAGTGCTGCAGAATTTGAAGAGGCACGAATGGAGGGCAGAAGGGAGAAACGTGCCAAGAGGAAGGCGCGTCAAACCAACTCCGACCGGAATTGCCTTCTACCTGGAAACTGATATCCTCACTGCGGGAGAACATGCAGGTCAAGAATAGGGCTCCACAGTCACCCACGGACCCACTGCCAGGACAGCGAATTTGGAGGACCATCACCCTCGGATAACAAGGTATCACCTAAGTAAGTAAGGTAAGTAAGACTATGACTCTTTGCATTCCTTCTCAGCCATAAAAATCCACTGGGTGACCTCAGGCAAGTCGTGCACTTTCAACCTTTGAGCAGATTTTTCCAAGGAAACTTTGCAATATGGCCAAAGGCACGCAATCCCTATAAGTATTTGCCTTCCATTGCATTTCGGCGTCTTCCGGTTTCTCATAATTGTGTGACACATCCACGAGAAATGCATTCGATTTCAGAAAAAGGCTCTTTGTTTTTGTGATGCTCTTTACTGTAACAGTCTAAATTGTGTTTGTGCAAAAACTTGAAAAACTGGCCACGTTGGGTGAAGGATTTCTGGAATTGCAGTAAAAAAAAAAGTGACCACTCCAAGCTCTGTGACATTATACAGGACCACCCGATTTGCGTGTAAATAACAATCCCAGGTCTTCCCTTAGAGCTGGACTTCTTACCCTTTTTCCTTTGGAACCCCTTTTCAGTCTGATAAATGTTTATGTGTCCCTGGGGGTATAGGGATATTAAATAGGTGAAGAATTTCAACATTTACTGATAACGAATCAGTATTTTCAAGGCCTGCTGAACAGGCTGATTTTCCTTTTTGTGACGTACAGCTGAAGCATCTTCTGCAGAGCCTACTGTAAACATTGCATTAAAATGGGTTGTTGTAGGTTTTTTCAGGCTATATGACCATGTTTTAGAGGCATTCTCTCCTGACGTTTCACCTGCATTTATGGCAAGCATCCTCAGAGATTGTGAGGTTGCATAAAAAATTCATGGACAGGGGCAGCTCAACCCATTACACAAAGTAAGCATTTGCAGTATAGTTGATTTTGCCCAGGGGCGCTCTTGAGGCGCTCTTGGGGGAAAACGTTGACATATGTGAGTTGTAGTTACTGGGATGTATAGTTCACTTACAATCAAAGAGCATTCTGAACTCCACCAATGATGGAATTGAACCAAATATGGCACACAGAACTCCCATGACGAACAGAAAATATATATCAGTGATTGGTTGGGGATACTGTTTGCTTACCATTGAAAATTACCTAGGGCTGCCTCTGTTCATGGAAATGTCTAAAACAGCGTTTCTCAACCTGGGGATCAGGACCCCTGGGGGTTTTCAAAGGGATTGCCAAAGACCACCAGAAAACATATATTTCTTTTTTTTTGTTGCATTTCATTTTTTTATTAACGAAGACTGGACGCGACAAATACAAATGTGAAAATAGGTACAACAATAACAAGACTTGTATGACTTCCTACATGTGTGTTAAATCCATACATATATATATAAGTATATGGTTTCGCATGTATATACCTTAATATAGCTACATATCCGCACCAAAGTTACCATACAAAAGGGTAAAAAGGGTAAAAAGAAAAGGACAAAAGTATAAACGAAAAGAATAAAAGAAGGCAAAAAGAAAAGAAAAAACCGAGAAAAAAAACACATACACATCGACATCGATAAAGTACAAATATTATATAGATTTCCCCTTAAACTTCCAGATCCCTCAAGTGAAGATGTACATTTCTTCTTTCACACAATATCCTGAGTAATAATAATAATAATAATAATAATAATAATAATAATAATAAAACATAATCTGTGACCTGCAATGTCTTGGCCCTTGTGATTCTTCTTTTCCCTTTTTCTTTCTTTCTTATTTTTCTTTCTTAAACATATATTTCTGAAGGTCTTAGGAACCCCTTTGGCAGAGAAGGCTGACGATCTCTCTGCCTGTCTTTCTCTTCATTTTTGGAAACACATGGCGAATCCTCTCATCAAAATCCCTCCTCTTGCTGTGATTGGCAGGCCTCTCAGCCAATGGGAGGACTGTTCCAGAGACTCCAAGCAGAGAGGGGAGAGCATGCATGCTCAGTGCATCATGGCGTGGTATTCATATGCGGGCGAGGGAGAGCATGCAAGGCTGGAGGGAGGTCCACACCAGCGAGTTCCTTCAAGGCAGGAATACTCAATATGCCCAAATGTGAACATAGATGGAGTTTGGGGGAAGTAGACCTTGACATTTGGGAGTTGTAGTTACTGGGATTTTTAGTTCACCTACAATCAAAGAGCATGCTGAACCCCACGAATGACAGAACAGGGCCAAACTTCCCACTCAGAACCCCCATACTTAAGGCCATTCAGTCCAACTCTCTTCACCAGGGCAAGAAAAGGTAATCAAAGCCCTCCTGACAAAGAGCCATCCAGCCATAGAGATAGATATATGTGATTCACACACACACAGAGATATAGTATCATAGCTTTGAAAGGGTCCCCTAAAGAAGGACAATTCTATGTTGCATGTTCCAGAGTAGGCAAACCAGACACTCTCCACATCAACACTGACAAAGAAACAGCAAGAAATACTGTTTACCCACAAGCATCAAGACATTACATAGATTAGAAACCAATACTTCCTCATTACTTAATTTTCCAGATCACCAGACTGGGCCGCAGCAATGTGTGGCAGGGGACTGCTAGTATTAAAATAATATTAAAATAAATATAGCGTCCTTACTTTGTGGATTTTCATTTATCGCGGGTGGTCCTGGAACATAACACCCACGATAAGTGAGGGAACACTGTAGGTGAACTACAACTCCAAAACTCAAGGTCAATGTCCACCAAACCCTTCCCACACAGAACCCCCATGACCAACAGAAAATACTGTGTTTTTGATACTCTGGCGACTTCTTTGATATCCCCTCGTGACCTCCCCCCCCCCAGGATCCCAACCCCCAGGTTGTGAAACACTGGTGTAGACTTATATAATCCAGTTCAATGTAGTTAGACTGCATTATATGAATCTACACTTGCCATATAATGCAGTTTGATGTGCATTATGGTGGCAGTGAAGATGGGGCCTCAGGTGGCTTTTGATGTTCTTTTGACACAGAACGCAGAAGCGACCATGATGGTCATCAAATAAATCGCAATATCAGTGTCAAGTTAATATCTTTATCAGTTAATCAAAAAGAGCACAAAGTAGCGCGCATACTTTTGAGATCTCTAAATCTATTTCCCGGCAAAGACGTGAAAGGAGACGAGAAGATGTTTTTCCCCACCTTTTGCAATTGATCTTTTTTTCATCTTGCCTGCTAAACCAGTGCGGGGATTTCAAAAGCATATACACAACTTGGTGCTTTTTCTGATTTACCCTGACGTTCGATGTGGATTCCCCAACCAAGTTTGAAAACAAATGTTCTTTTGAAAATTATTTACATACTGCATTATTATGACCAAATTTATTTATCGTGTTAGGAGCAATCAGACAATTGTATTACATTTTTAACAAAACAAACAAACAAACAAAACACAAAGTTTGCAAGCTTGGTAGTTGATTAAATGTCCTTTGACCAGTATCTGGCCACTTGGAGTGCCTCTGGTGTTGCCGCAAGAAGGTCCTCCCTTGTGCATTGTGCTCAGGTTGCATTGCAGCAGGTCGTCTGTGGTTTGCTCTTCTCCACACTCGCATGGCGTGGATTCCACTTTGTGGCCCCATTTCTGAAAGTTGGCTCTGCATCTCGTGGTGCCAGAGCACAGTCTGTTCAGAGCCTTCCAAGTCGCCCAGTCTTCTGTGTGCCCAGGGGGAGTCTCTCATTTGGTATCAGCCATGGTTTGAAATTCTGGGTTTGAGCCTGCCACTTTTGGACTCTCGCTTGCTGGGGTATTCCAGTGAATGTCTCTGCAGATCTTAGAAAACTATTTCTTGATTTAAGTCGTCGTGCTGGCTGATATCCAAACAAGGGATGAGCTGGAGATGTCACTGCCTTGGTCTTTCACTATTGGCTGCTACTTGTCAGGTGGTGCAATACCGGCTAGACAGTATAATTTCTCCAGTGGTGTAGGGCACAGACACCCCGTGATAATGCGACATGTCTCACTAAGAGCCACATCCACTGTTTTAGTGTGGTGAGATGTGTTCCACACTGGGCATGCATACTCAGCAGCAGAGTAGCCTAGTGCAAGGGCAGATGTCTTCACTGTGTCTGGTTGTGATCCCCAGGTTGTGCCAGTCAGCTTTCGTATGATATTGTTTCTAGCACCCACTTTTTGCTTGATATTCAGGCACTGCTTCTTGTAAGCCAGAGCACGGTCCAGGGTGACTCCCAGGTATTTGGGTGCGCTGCAATGCTCCAATGGGATTCCTTCCCAGGTAATCCTCAGAGCTCAGGATGCTTGTCTGTTCTTAATGTGAAAAGCACATGTCTGTGTTTTAGATGGATTAGGGATCAGCTGGTTTTCCCTGTAGTAGGCGTAAGAGCACCTAGAGCTTCGGAGAGCTTCTGTTCAACCATCTCAAAGCTCCCTGCTTGAGTAGTAATGGCACGATCATCAGCATAGATGAAACTCTCTGTCCCTTTTGGCAATGGCTGGTCATTTGAACATGGATGGAGCAAGCACACTCCCCTGAGGCAGGCCGTTCTTCTGTTTCCGCCATCTGCTTCTCTGGCCCTGGAACTCAACAAAAAAGCTCCTGTTTTGTAGCAGGTTTCCTATGAGGCGGGTGAGGTGGTTGTCCTTTGTGATATTATACATTTTTCTCAGGAGGAGGCGGTGGTTGACAGTATAATAAGCTGCTGACAGGTCTATGAAGAGAGCTCCTGTGATCTGCTGCCTTTCAAAGCCATCTTCTATGCGCTGAGTCAGGTTCGGCACTTGCGATGTGCAGTGCCGAACTTTCCCGAAGCCAGCTTGCTGTGGAATCAGACAGGGGTCTATATTTTCCATAATTCTATGCAACATAAGTCTCTCCAGAACTTTGTAGAGGTGGCACAACAGGGAGATTGGTCTATATTATGACCAAATGACTTTTACATAATACTTGGCTGCAAATAATCATCTACTCAAGACTCCATATTTCCAGATATCACAGAATGAATAAACATCAGTGAACTTTGAGTATAAGATGGCTGTTTCCAACTTGACGTCCCAGTCAACATAGCTTGTGTCCATGCTGGTTGGGGTTTATGGTTCTATAGTGCAAAAACATCCAGAAAATGCCAGAGTAGGGAAGATAAATGACATAATCTGGAAATTTAACCTTTTTGCGTCACTATTTTTAGAATATCTGAGGCAATATGTAGGTGGGAGTTGTAGTCTGCAACATACAAACTGAGGTATGCAATGGTATTTATTAGGCATGTGCAAAAAAAAGTTTCTGAAATTGTAAGAAAACTGGAAGTTTTGTAAGTCGGGAGACATATACGAAGCGTTTGCGTGGCCCACATCAGATATTTTAGAATCTTAGAATTTTCTGTTGGTCATGGGAGTTCTGTGTGCCAAGTTTGGTTCAGTTCCATTGTTGCTGGAGTTTAGAATGCTCTTAGATTGTAGGTGAACTATAAATCCCAGCAACTACAACTCCCAAATGTCAGTGACTATTTCCTCCAAATTCCACCGGTATTCAGATTTGGACATATTGAGTATTCGTGCCAAGTTGGGTACAGATTCATCAGTGCTAAGGTTTCCCACCAAAATGGAACTGTAGAGGAGAGTCTACTGAGCAAGCCAGTACCTGCTGCATACCAGTACTGCCATCTGTTGAGGAGTTATGATGTTGGAGGCATTACTTTTCATTCAACCCTTGTATTCAGAGGACATTGGGGGTTCTTTTGGTCAACTTGTAACCTCTCTCCTTTTGTTTCGTAGGTGGCCCATGGCGATTGCGATGCTTGCGTCCAAAAAAGTCAACGTCCAGCCGTTGGTCACCCATCGCTTTCCTTTAGAAAAAGCCCTGGATGCCTTTGAAGCCACCAAAAAAGGTGTCGGAATAAAAATCATGCTGAAATGTGATCCCAGTGACCAGAATCCATAATATGTAAACAAAAGAAGCAAGAATGCTCCATCCTACTTCTAATGAAGATGGAGTACTTAGAAGATATTTTAGTGGAAACGAAGAAAAGTGCCTGGTTTGACCTTGGGTTGTGACCATAATGGGGAGGAGGGATCTGTGCTTTTGAGCCCTGTGGTGATGACCTAAGCCCATGCCTTCCATGACTATTGTAGGAAAAGGCTATTCCTCATAAGTTAAACCTCTTAAGGGCATGTCGGCATGTTTCTGCAAGCACTCTGGCTTAGAGACGGGACTGTAATTTACTCTCAAATCCCAGGTCTTCCACAAGAGCCTCGGGCAGGAACCACTAACAAGATATTTCACTCAATGTCCCATTACACTGATCCGGCCTTTCAATCATCTAGCTCCGTTTACAGATCGTCTAAGCCATCACGAGGTACTAATTTTTCCGAAATGTCATTGTCCGTTAAACTCAGGGTAACTTGGAAATAAAATCGTTCCGATGAATAATCTGCCTCCGCAACTCTATGTCTTTCATGCAACTGGGATGAGTCGAAGGTAGATTTGACTTTTGTGGATTTGGCCTGCTTTGTCATACAATCCCGCAACTCCTCTGTATCAGATTTGAGAAAATGATTGGACATCATTGGGTTGTTGTAGGTTTTTTGGGGATGGATGGCCACATTCTAGAAGCATTCTCTCCTGATGTTTCGCCTGCATCTCTGGCAAGCATCCTGGCCTCGGGCCCCTTCCTTTTTCGCCTCAGCTGCTTAAGGGAAGGAGGGAAATATAAAAGGGAAGGAAGAAAGCGGAAAAGGAGGGAGATATGGAAGGAAAGACAAAAGCGATGGAAGGACAAAAGGGGGGAAGGGAAGGGAAGGAAGGATGAATGGAAGGAAGGAAGGAAGGAAGGAAGGAAGGAAGGGAGGGAGGGAGGGAGGGAGGGAGGGAGAAAAGAGCGAAGGAAGAAAGGATGGAAAGATGGAAATGGAGAGAGGGAAGGGAGTTAGGAAACAGAAGGAAGGAAAGAAAAGGGAAGAAAAGAGAGAGAAGGAGAGAAGGAAGAAGGTGGAAGGGAAGGATGGAAGGAGAAGGAGGGAGGGAAGGGAGGTAAGGAGGAAGGAAAGAGAAGAAAGGAAGGATGAAAGGGAGGAAGGGAAGGATGGAGAAAAAAGAGGGAAGGAAGGAAGGGGAAAGGGAGGAAGGGAAGGAAGGAAAGAAATGATAGGAAAGACAAAAGGGAGGGAAGGAGAAAAGGGTGGAAGGAAAGGAAGGATGGATGGATGAAAGGAAGGAAGGAAGGAAGGAAGGAAGGAAGGGAAAGAGGAAGAAAAGAGAGAAGGAATGACGAAAAGATGGAAGGAAATGGAGAGAGGGAAGGGAGGGAGGAAACAGAAGGAAGGAAAGATAAAAGGGAAGAAAGGAAAGAGAAGGAGAGCGGGAAGGAAGGATAAAAGGTGGAAGGGAAGGATAGAAGGGAAAAAGGAAAGGGCCTGAGGCCAGGATGCTTGCCACAGATGCAGGTGAAACGTCAGGAGAGAATGCTTCTAGAACATGGCCATCCAGCCCCAAAAAACTACAACAACCCAGTGATTCCAGCCATGAAAACCTGCTTAGACAATACTTATACACTTTCCCAATCGTTTGCACATAACTGCAGTTCAAATTGGCATCGTTCAAACCACAGTTCTTTGTATCCATCTTAAGGTAAAAGTAATGGTTTCCCTTAATAATAATAATAATAATAGAATAATTATTTATTAGTAAAGTTAAAGGTTTTCCCCTGCCATTGCGTCCAGTCGTGTCCAACTCCGAGGGTTGGTGCTCATCTCCATTTCCAAGCCGAAGAGCCGGCATTGTCCGTAGACACCTCCAAGGTCATATGGCCAGCATGGCTGTATGGAGCGCAGTTACCTTCCCGCTGGAGCGGCCCCTACTGATCTACTCACATTTGCATGTTTTCAAACTGCTCGGTTGGCAGAAGCTGGGCCTAACAGCAGGAGCTCACACTGCTCCCAGGATTCAAACCTGCAACCTTTTGATTAGCAGGTTCAGCAACTCAGCACTTTAACCCACTTCGCCACCGGGGGCTCCTTATTAATAAATAATGATAGAATAATTATTTATTAGTAAAGGTAAAGGTTTTCCCCTGACATTAAGTCCAGTTGTGTCCTACTCTGGGGGTGGTACCCATCTCCATTTCTAAGCCGAAGAGCCGCATTGTCCATAGACACCTCCAAGATCATGTGGCCAGCATGACTACATGGAATGCCATTACCTTCCTGCTAGAGTGGTACCTATTGATTTACTCACATTTGAATGTTTTTGAACTGCTAGGTTAGCAGAAGCTGGGACCAACAGCAGGACCTGTAGCTCGTTTGTATGTTATGTTTCCTCATCAGCTTCCTTCTGCGGTCAGTGGTCCCCTTGATGTATGGCAAGAACACTTTTCCTCTGGGTGGATCGTTGTCATGACTCTCAAGGCTTGTTCTTGGCCTTGCAACTCTTATGATGTCTGTGGTGCAGTCTCCATTGGCCTGGGGAGCCCAGTTGAGGTGGTTCAGTTCACCTTGGAGGAGGTGGGGTTTTGCAGGAAGCAGCCAGGCTTTGAAGCTGCAAGGCTTTTCAGTGCTAATCAAGCTGGCCAATTGCAACATTCACACTTGCCTCCAACAGACAAGAGTTCTTTCTCCCACCCTGGACATCATTCCACAGATATATAAACCCCACTTGCCAAGTTTCCAACAGACTTCACAACCTCTGAGGATGCCTGCCATAGATGTGGGTGAAATGTCAGGAGAGAATGCTTCTGGAACTTGACCATGCAGCCCGGAAAACTCACAGCAACCCAGAATAATCTATTGCTTTTGTCTGATTATTTAAAGCTGGAGAACTATGGGAATTTAGACAACTGTACCTTCCAAAAATGGTGTTTTAAAAAATTCTCTTTAAGAGACTTGGGGGGTATTTTTGTCCTTCCCTTTGTTGATAAAAGGAAGTGACCGGAAGTCCATTCCTGCCCAATTTGAGGAATGCCTTAAGTTCTCTGACGTGATGCACCTTTGATAAGATAAGCAACTCAATCCAAAGGAGAGGCTGATAGAACTGACTCCCATAAAGTCATCAAAATGCATCACCAAAGGAGAAGCCATGGATTTGCATACTTGATCTGTATGGGTGGGGATACGGCAATAAAGTGCCAGAGAGAAATGTTTAACCTATTCAGAGTTCCAGAGAAATTAAGAGATTTGGTCACCGATACGCACTTCCTGAACATCGGGAGACTGGTGTCACTTCCCAGTTGTTCTCTGTACGTGCCGTCTTAGGCGTATTTATTTCATACCAAAAGCATTGCTTAAATAAATAAGTATCGAAACTGATAAAATAGAAGGAGCACAAGCAGCTAAATAATTTGAGACTTCCAGATCTAAGAACTTACTACGAAGCCTGTGGTCTAAGTTGGAAAAAAAATTGGACTACCCTAAGAAAAAAAGAAATTTACTGACATTAGAAGGCGCTAAGACGGGGATGGCATGCTTATTTGTGGTATGATAAAACTAAGATGGAAAAAAACTTTAACAACCACTATATAAGAGCGGGTGTAATTAAAATTTGGGAAAGATACAAAAAAAGGTTAACTAGCCGTCCCCTGCTACACGTTGCTGTGGCTCACATGGGGGTTCTGTGTGGGAGGTTTGGTGTGGTTTAAAATGCTCTGTGATTGTAGGTGAACTATAAATCCCAGCAACTACAACTTCCAAATGTCAAGATTCTATTTTCCCCCAAAGTCCAGCAGTGTTCACATTTGGGCGTATTGAGTATTCATGTAGTGTTTGGTTCAGATCCATCATTGTTTGAGTCCACAGTAATCTCTGGATGTAGGTGAACTACAACTCCAAAACCAAAGTACAAGGCCCACCAAACCCTTCCAGTATTTTCTGTTGGTCATGGGAGAACTGTCTGCCAAGTTTGGTTCAATTCCATCCTTGGTGGGGTTCAGAATGCTCTTTGATTGTAGGTGAACTATAAATCCCAGCAACTACAACTCCCAAATGTCAAGATTCTATTTTCCCCAAAGTCCAGCAGTGTTCACATTTGGGTATATTAAGTATTTGTGTAGAGTTTGGTCCAGATCCATCATTGTTTGAGTCCACTGTAATATCTGGATATAGGTGAACTACAACTCCAAAACCAAAGTACACTGCCCACCAAACCCTTCCAGTATTTTCTGTTGGTCATGGGTGAACTGTGTGCCAAGTTTGGTTCAATCCCATCAGTGGGGTTCAGAATGCTCTTTGATTGTAGGTGAACTATAAATCCCAGCAACTACAGCTCCCAAATGACAAAATCCATTTTTTTTGAGTCAAGGACATACATTGGGTTGTTAGGTGTCTTGTGTCCAACTTTGGTGTAAATTCGTCCAGTGGTTTTTGAGTTCTGTGAATACCACAAACGAACATTACATTTTTATTTATAGAGATACTCCACTTTGGTTGTCACCTCTTGAGGCATTCCACAGGAGAGAATTAGGATGGGAATCGTGGCCTGTGTATAGAGACGTCCTGAAGAAAGTAAGAGAGAACTATGTATCAAAAGAAGAAAAAAAGGTGAAAGAAATCTTTGCCAATCTATCATGGTTAAATTACAGACAACTTATAGATTCAGTTCTTGTGGGTTTTTTCTGGCTATAGGGCCATGTTCTAGAGGCATTTCTCCTGACGTTTCGCCTGCATCTATGGCAAGCATCCTCAGAGGTGAGGTCTGCTGGAAACTGGTAAAAGGGGTTTATATATCTGTGGAATGACCAGGGTGAGACAAAGGGCTTTTGTAAGTTGGGCTAGGTGTGATTATAGATTGCTATAAAACAGATAAGGAATTAAACTTTGCGGACAAAGACAGCTTCTGGGACAATATTATGAAGACAAACAACAAAATAATTACACAATTTACAAAAAAACTTAGAATGGGCTACAGAAACAGAACAGGTAAAAGAATCTATGATTAAGTGGGCACAAAATGTAGGCCACCAAATAGATCTGAATCAGTGGGAGAATATCTGGAATCAAAAAATCAAATATACCTATTCTTACAATTTAAAAGAAAATGTACTTAAAACGATTCACAGATGGTATATTACACCCCAAAAGTTTTTCAAAATTTTATAAAAATGCCTCGAACAAATGTTGGAAATGCAAACAGCAAATAGGGTCTTTCTTCCACATTTCGTGGTCATGCCCCAAAGCTAAAGAATGGTATACAATGATACACAGAAAATTTTGAAAATACAATTCAGAAAGGAACTAGAGTTCTTCCTGCTTGGAATGCTTGATTTTGGAGGTGACAAAATATGGATATAATTTTTAATTACCTAACCACCGCAGCCCAAATTGTGTACGCTATGAATTGGAGACAGAAGGAAACATCCCAAAGAGAAGACTGGCAAAATAAAATATTGGAAATAATTAATATGGACGAATTAACCTATTGGTTATCAACGAATGAAGGAATTC